CATTTCTTTTCTTTCATTCCTTAAGTATTAAATAAAATACGAAAAGGTTTGTACAAAAAATAAGGAAATTTTACAGACCTTTTCGTATTTTTCTTCAAATTTCCTATTTCCTGTTGATATTTGTAAATGAAGGCATCAGGTAATCGAATACTGAATAATGGTGCTCGTTCCTCAATACGGCCAACGTAAGTTCGTTGAATTGAGTTAATCCGATTCCCGTGATCTCCCATTATCACTAATGCCATAGAATTGAATATTCCATTATCATGTAAGCGTTGCAGGGATGTTCTGATAGTGGTTGATTGATATTTCGAGAGTGATTTATACAGCAGTGAAGTTAACAAGTAAAAAAAAAAAAATGAAACAATGATGTTATCAAATCAAACTTAGCTACGGAACTCCTTAATTTTCGTATTAAAATATTGAAATAAAAAATTTATAAAAATTAAGAATGTAAATTTTCATTTATTTAATTGTACTGTAACTTACGCTAATCGATCATCGATAGCTTCAATGTAATTAGGATTATTATGTGTTAGATCAGTTATAAAATTGAATGAAAAATGACAGAAATCTTTGAATTTGGTTGCAAATGTTTCCCATATGTCCAAATATACCTCGGCACAAATCTAAATAATTCCAAATTTAAATAATATGCAGCAGAAATGATCATTTTATATTTCGAATAAAACTCCTATCCAACAGTTAAAGCCAACATTTATCTTTTTTAATTAAAATGCAAAAGTTTCACTTCGCCAGTTCGTAAACATTGACCATTGACCGGAATTATATTATGACGTGTATTGAATAAATGAAAAGGTCGAAAGTAAAAATGAGCTGGTGGCGTTTTATATCCCTGGAAAGTTTCGTTCGGATAGTAAAATAGTCCACGTAATACATCACCAATATCATCGTTAACCATCGTTATACATTTCCTATCTTAAAATTTTAATTTTTATTTAATGTATGCATTTCTTATATTTTACAGTATCGAGATCACTGTATACTTTACAATATTGTACAACAATACTTTTTTTTTTTTAAATAACAAAACAATCAAATAATACTTTAATCATACAGTAATCTCATAGTATCACTAAACTATCTGATAAATTGATGTTTGAAATTTTTATCCTTCATACCTAATTCAATTATTTTTATATTATTATTACTGAATAATCATATAATTAAAAAGGAACAAAGGAAATTCTCCTTAAATAAACGATACCTTCCATCATTTTCCATAAAAAATCAATATCTTCCAAGGAAATTATTTTATTTAATGGTAAAACTTCATCACCATTACCACCAACCTGCGGTAATATTGATTTGCCAGCAAGTATTGGTAATAAATTAACTGCAGAATTATCGCCAACTTTTGTATATCCTAAACGATCATGCAAAAATTTTTTTTATAAATTGAAAAAAAAAAATTAAATAATTAAAAATTGTATTAATGGAACATTTTAGAGAAAAGTAGGAAGATTTTATGCCATTGTGCCGCCACTTTTGCCAGAATCATCAATTAAAATAACTTTACAATTAGCCTTATAATATTCAATTTTTAATTATAAACTAAATTTCCTTCCTCACTGATGAAGCTGCTAACAGACATTTTATAATTATTTGAAACCTTCTAAAATGATGAAACCAAGCTGTTTCATGTATTCAACAGTTTTATGCATATGTCGCAAAAATTGATTTCTCGATACCGAATCAAGTACGAGAATATTAAGCGATGGCTTCTCCTGAAAATAAAAAACAAATGTTATGAACAAATTTTTTATACTCTCATTGATGCATTTGATTGATTGAAAAAATAAAACGAAAGTAAAAAAAAAAAAATATTGAATGGACACTAAAAACATTTTTATTGCTAATGCAAAAAATCTAACATTTTCAGAAAATAATTTCAACAGACTTACTGGATTTGCATGCGTGAATTCCGAATTTTTTCTCGTAAGCTGAAAGAAGGAAAATTTGAGCAAAAATTCATCAAAATTTGAATAAAATATTCAATAATACGTAGTTCAACAATTTATATCCCATCTTTTAATCATTTTTAACCTCATCTCTTTAACTATCTTTTAATCATTTATAACCAATATATAACCATCTTTCTCACTTCTTTTTTTTACAAAAAAGGTTGATTTTATTCCAATCCATGTTAATATATAGCAAAATGGATTGAATTTATCAACTAACAATATCATCCATTTTGGAAAATGTAACAAACGCTCGCTCATAAAATATGGAATCGTTGTAAAATGGTTTATTGCTAATCATTCCAAGCAAAGTTTTGTTATAACAGCGTACTACGAATTGATCATGTGGGACACGAAGTCGCTTACTTCGTGGTACCTGAAATGAGGTAATTTTAAAAAGTTCATTATTTCGAATAGAAAAATTTGAAATAAATTGACTAATTAGCTTAATTGGTAATCGATTGATATATTAGTCGGTTACTGATCAAACTTTCCATAATTTTCTTTGCCAAATCAAGCTGATGATGATCATTTCCTGAACGATTGAATATTATATGGTATAAAGAAAATAATCTTAAAATTACTGAAATAAAATGATTTAAATTTACCTCAATAGGATTACCAATCAATTGATACCAACTGATATTTGGATATAAACCACCACTGAGGCCTTGATAATAGCACCTGAAATGTTATTATAATGAAAATTTTAAAAAAGAAGCAAGAATTAAGTTCATGATATAAGTGGTGAATTTTTCATTCCCATTGAATTTTAGCTTCCTTTGAAGTAAACCGAAATGGACCGAAAATATGAATGGAGAAAATGAAAGCATTCTTCTTGATAATTTTAAAAATTGTACTTGTATGTGGGAACTCGAACTTGTTTCCAACGTTCCAATTCGCCATGTAAAATCAAATATCCATCGTCCATAGAAGCCATATTTGGCATTTTACTGTTGCAATGGATTGATCTATAAAAGAGATGAATGAAAATTCAAAATATAAATTGGAGAAATTTAAACATTGAAATACGTC